CATTCTAATCTAACTGGTACGTGCACCGCTGCTCCATTATTATGGCTATTTTTCATGTACAATTCCGTGCTTAAGAAGCCTATTCTGGGCAGAGCTAGCACGGACATTTTGCATTAACCCTCGTGGCACAAAATCCTTAATTATGTGATGTACACATTTCAGTACATGCCAAAATTCCTTGCAAATCCATGAAATGCATTCACCATGAAATATGCCAACAAATTTGTCTTTGTTTACTGTAAGTAGAGCCATAAAATTGGGTCCTGGTAAGCCTCTATCCAGTTTGAATTGACTGGAACTAAGTCCTGCTCTGAGTTTGCAGCATGTATTGTACCCTGTAATGGAGACATGAAGTGTTGTGTCATGCACAACCAAATGGTTCATTAATTATCTCAAATTATTCACATTTAACTCGAATCATTCACATAGCAGGCTCTTTTCAACGATAGTTGTTTTATTTTTTTAGCATGTAACCAACAGAAAAAAAGAGATAGTGGACACAAGGAAACAGTTGTCTAAAATGTAAAAGAGAAGCACTGAATGACTTAGATTGTAAAAAATAAAAATTCTGCAGCTACAATGTCTAAATTCACATGCACTGCAATATTGTGCACATTATGTGTATTGATTTATCGTTAGTCTGGATCTTCTCTATTTCTTATGCTGTAGCTGGTCTTTGATTGTTCAAGACAATTATCAAGATTTGAAAGTTTGTATGGTGAAGATAGCAATAAGATAAAGTTGATGTCTTCTGACGACGGGCAGAGTTTAATGTCCAAAATGTAGAGTTCCCGCGGCTTTTCAGAACCCTGCAAACTTATAAAAGAGATTTGTTACATTTTTCAACTGTAAACTTTGTCTTAAAACTTGTACAAATACTACTTCAAATTGCAATACAATACATCAAAAGTTGTAGTGTGTGAACAAGACTGTCTGTTTCAAGGCAAGCAGCAAATTCTTGACATAAAATGATGGTACAAAAATGTGTTTGTTATTTTCTTTTCTTCTGAGATCCCTATGTGATGAGTGAGAAACACCTGCTAGCCATTGCAGCTGAGCTGGGTCCTGAGTGGGAACGCCTTGCAGTCAGTCTGGGCTTCACTCAGTCTAACCTGTACAGGTTCAAACAAGACAACAGTGTAACAGACAATGCTATCTTTAGCATGTTGGTTGCATGGTCAAAGAGGGAAGGAGGTGATATAGAGAGAAAACTACAAGTGCTTAGTGAAGCTATAGATGAATGTGGACGTAGAGATGTGGTTGAAAAAATGCTGCATATTTATATGTAGGCAATTGATAACCATAAGAAAAACCTAGATTGCCCAGTGATTAACCTCTGATAATCTTACGTGCTAAATAAGTACAATATATGCTATAGCACACTGAGTATACAGTGTTTATATGTTGGTGAAGGGCAAAACCTAATATTGATTTACATCACCCGACGCAAATTTCTTCTCATTGTAGTTTAATTGTGGTACCCCCTGCTACATGTACATCAGATTCAAACCAGCCAGCCAATCCTGGCAAACTCGGTGGTCGGGTGGTGGGACGTCTGCACTAGAAAGCAGGAGGTCATGGGTTTGAGTTCCACCCGAGTGATTTTTTCCAACTTTTGCTCGGGAGGTAACACACTGAGTATACATACAGTGTTTATACGTCTTTGAAGGGCAAAACCTAATATTGGACATGGTGAACTCAGAAAACGCCAACATTTTTTTCACCAATGGTATAAGCTGCTTGTAGAATGCATGATGTAACTGTATTGCTAGCTTTGAACAATGTATTTAATGTTTGAAAATTAAAACTTGCAGGAGCAGATCCTGGAATTTTTAAGGGGGGGGGGGAGGGGGTTTCATTATGTTTTATGAATTTCTATGAAAAAAAATTCCATCAGAGCTTCTTCTTTTGTAAACTTGCTTTTTTTCCAACAAATATGTTCATCACTTTTTCATTTGTTTCTTCACTGTTTTTTTCTCTTTCTTCACAATGTATCCAGCAAACAAAACAAAGTTTCCTTTTATGTGCATTTTTTTCTGCAAAGAATCATAACGGTCGTGGCATTGAAAATCTTTTAAAACATTTGGATTCAAGCCTGTGTTGGATTCAGGCCTGTGTTGGATTCAGGCCTGTGTTGGATTCAGGCCTGTGTTGGATTCAGGCCTGTGTTGGATTCAGGCCTGTGTTGGATTCAGGCCTGTGTTGGATTCAGGCCTGTGTTGGATTCAGGCCTGTGTTGGATTCAGGCCTGTGTTGGATTCAGGCCTGTGTTGGATTCAGGCCTGTGTTGGATTCAGGCCTGTGTTGGATTCAGGCCTGGGTTGGATTCAGGCCTGGGTTGGATTCAGGCCTGGGTTGGATTCAGGCCTGGGTTGGATTCAGGCCTGGGTTGGATTCAGGCCTGGGTTGGATTCAGGCCTGGGTTGGATTCAGGCCTGGGTTGGATTCAGGCCTGGGTTGGATTCAGGCCTGGGTTGGATTCAGGCCTGGGTTGGATTCAGGCCTGGGTTGGATTCAGGCCTGGGTTGGATTCAGGCCTGGGTTGGATTCAGGCCTGGGTTGGATTCAGGCCTGGGTTGGATTCAGGCCTGGGTTGGATTCAGGCCTGGGTTGGATTCAGGCCTGGGTTGGATTCAGGCCTGGGTTGGATTCAAGCCTAGGTTGTTGGCTGAATATAAAACATTTTGATTGTATAGACCTTGCTGTGAATGGCTTCAAATATCCACAAGTGTTAGAACAATGACTGCTACTTGTGGATGTACATGTATAAATTTCATACAGGGTTTTAAAAGGGGGATTAGAGAGATAAAATTGTTTGCTTTTTCCAATTGATTTCAGATGATTAAGCGATTTGTATACATGTAGATGATAATTTGATGCTCAGAAGTCTTAGGTCTTCATGTTAGTTGTACAGTACAGCAACCTTGCTCTTTTACAAGTCATAATTTAATTTGCATGAGGTTAAACTTCTGATCAAGGTGTATCTTTTTCTGTAAGTTATGCAGATCAGTGTATAAGACTTGACAACTGTTTTCAGATATTTAGGTAAATGTTAGCATCACCGAGTTTTGTGACCTATCACAATGAAAGGGCTGTTTTTCAATTGTGAGTTTACAGTTTGAAATCACTAGAAATTCCAATTGGTTTTCTGTAGGGTTTTGATGCATGACAGTAATTCTTAAAATTTGAATCTGATCCACGCTTATTTTAGTTCACTACCAACCTTTGTAGTCTTCTCTCGGTATATTTAAATTAGAACTTTATGGTACAATTGAAAGGAAAAGTAGACAAAAAAAGTGCTTTTTAAATTTAATTTATCTCATTCTTTTCTTTTTATGCACAACTGTTTTTTTATGTAAAAAAATACGAGTGTTCTGGTCAATGTTTGGATAATTTAATATCACTTTCAATAGACCCTCAGGCTCAGATACCCTTCACAAGTGACAAAGAATCTTGCCATAATATGCTGTACAATAAATCTATTGTCATTTATTCTGAAATTATTTGATGCTCAGTAAAACCGAACGTAAGTTATTTAGACGTGCAATATACAAAGAAATATGTCTAACTGAATAATATTGGAGTTTAATTTATTGAGTTATAAATAGTGCGTTTCTGTATTTGATGTATTTTTAATTTTCCCCTAGATTGATTGATATGAAAGTGTATGATTTAATCGCTCATGAGATGAACCATGCCCGACATATTTAAGGGCTTTCCTTATATCCAAAATCCTTTTACATTTGCACATTTTGGCTTTATAACCAAATTTACCATTAAATTACATGACAATCCCAAGTTTTTGAAATACTGATAAAGTGAGTAACCCCCCCAAAAAGGATAAATCTGTTTTCAGGATTGTACACTTTATTTGATGGTAATGTGAAATTCCCCTGCCTAAATGTATGCTACGGCTCTACATCAAATCTATATTGGCTGAGAAATGCTGTTTTATTTCTGACTGTTTGGCGTAGTCAAGAGATTTTAACTTTTTTATGATTTTGTTCAAATAAAAAAAAAGTCAACATGAACTCTGCAGTATGTAATGTGCAGTGCTATAGTTGCCCATCCCAGTCTCAAATCCTGTCATATTTCAAAAGGCATCGCCACAAATTGATTGTTGAAACAGGCATGATTGGTCCTTTTATCTTTTTCATACCCCCACAAATGAACAAAAAGCTGAGAGAAATATTTATAGTGACCCAACTGTTGTCCAAATTATTGGAGGGATGGTGATAGCCATGTAGAATGCATATGCTATGGTCCATTTGGGTAGAGGACTTAATTTGGGCTGTAATATATTGGGCTGCCGCGTGGTCTTGTGGCCTGACAAACAGAGAAATTGTTTTGAAATAAGCAGCAACTCCAATAAATCCCCACACCCATGGGCGTCGCCAGGATTTTTTCTAGAGGGGGCAAAGCACATTTTCCACCGAAATTCCTGTACTTTTCAGCATATTCTCGATTTTTTCATTTTTCGAGGGTGGGCAGGGACATTTGCCCCCCCCCCCCAACATTTTAAATTAACAGCGATATGACTTTGCGCCTCTTTTTCTTTCATGTTTCCCTTTTTCCTCCTTTTTTGGTTGCTTTTTCGGGGGGGGGGGGGGGCAAACGCCCCCTTGCGCCCCGCCCCCCCCTCCCCCGTCGCTATTTAGGCCTACTCATAGAGTCCAGCAAGATAAGAACATAATTGAAGCAGAAGAAGCAGAAATCGAGCATTACACCTTATTCTTATACTCTGTATAGCAAAAATGCCTTAGAAGAGATTTTTAGACCCTGGCCGAAGAATAAAATAATCATTTTAATAGTAATTGTAGATTGTGTTACATTTTTGTATCCAATTTGTTTACATAAGTTGTAAATATACGGTACATATGCATGAAAGAGAGTAGGTCAAGCGTGCATGTTGGCAGGTACCTGACCCCTACATTGAAAAATACGTATTCAATACGAATAATTGTGGGTAGACTGAACTGGGAACCAGTGTACTTTCACATGTACTACTGAGTAGTGTACGAGTCGAGTCGGACTCGCCGTACATGTACCCGGGCCCGTACCCCTGTGTAGGTTTCCTTATTAAAAGGCTACGTACGTTAGCATACGCAACTTCATAATAATATATTGCCGATCTTCAGAATGGATGTTTGAAGAATGAAGCAGTAAGGTAAATAGCAGATATTATTTTCATTTCGTTCCGATGTTGAGTTTCTGCTGGCGTTGGAAGTTCAGAGTGGCCAACAAACTAGCCTAACCCCATAAATGTGGCCAATTTACTGGACTACCTTAGCTGGAGTTACCCAGCCCTGAGTTTTATCATTGGGTTCCTAGATGACAACCCAATGATAAAACTCAGGGCTGGGTAACTCCAGCTAGGACTACCTCAATAAATAAACTAAAGGCCACACTTGGTTGGAACATGTACAAAAAACACGTAGGCCCTAGAACTTTGTCAAATTTTGATTTCCACATTTAGGCTTAGTTTGTAGTTTATTTTAGCCCCATAAATGTGGCCAATTTACTGGACTACCTCCGTAAATAAAGGCCACACTTCCACCATGTACAAAAACATGTCGAACTTTGTCAAATTTTGATTTTCACATTTAGGCATACAATACTGTAGTTAATACTAGCATGAATAGTTTGTAGTTTATTTTTGCTTTACGCCGCCTTTAGTCATGTTAGTAGCATACTCACCCTCTTCATAGGCTAATCAGAAAGTGCTGCCTTTTTCAGATGTTTGTTTTTCGTGAAATTTCATGTTGAAATTTTAATACGCAAACGTGTGCAAATGAATCTGGGAATTTCACGAAATTGGCAGCACTTTCTGATTAGCCTATAAAGAGGGTGAGTATGCTTCTAAAGCTTTGAAGCCACTCTGGGCGCAGACATTTTGAATTTATGTGCGTGTTTGTAGAACACAATCAAAATAGATGGATTTAATTTTAAAAGTGTAGGCCCTACTCTAAGGGGCCATTCAGAATTTTCAATGTTTTAAAATTTCGACTTTTTTTCCAAATTATTTTGACCCACCCACCCACCCCTAATTTCGATTAATAAAAAAGTGAACATGTATATGTACATGCACTTGCATGTACTTGAACTTATACAGGTATACCCATGTACATTTGTGTCTAGTTCAGTAACGGCGTGAAGTTGTCGGTCTTCCTCTTTTGCACTGGTGACCTTCAGTTTTCTTGTGTTTTGCCAGCTGATATGCTGTTGGGAAAGACAGGTTGCAGTCTTGGAAGCCACAAACATGGCCGTGGTTTTGTCGTTTTCTGGATGAGGTGGATGATATGTGACATATGAGGTTGTGCCTGTCACGTGAGGTAGCTGAGAAAAACATTCGCTCGTACCCCCGCCCTGTTTGCAGGGGGGGGGGGGGGTACGAGCGAAAGAAAAACATCAGGTTTGGGCAGACATCACATCACAGGCTGCGGTCCTCATAGTCTTGGACTCCAGTGGTTGAATAGTCCAGTTTTTATAGCGATTGGTAATCGACGCCCACGGCGTGGTATAGGCCCTAGAGCCGATCTAGTACACCAGGTACCCTGCTGCCTCTGCATGGCCTAACCGCTACAAACACCTGGCGTCCAAGTCTACTGAAAAACCACCTCCCTCTCATGCCACAGTGGGTCTATATACACGTACATGACGTACATGTACAGTACCGGTACATATACAGGGGATGAAGTTGAAAAAGAAACACGCATCGCGATATCGGAAGGCTTGCGCGTAGTTCAGGCAAGTCGAAAGATCTATCTTTCTTTGTTTGTTTTTTATCTTTTTTCCATGGAAAGTGAATTTCGATTTTCAATTATTTAGCTTGACCCACCCGCCCACTATTTGGAAAAAAGATCGTAATTTTAAAACATTGAAAATTCTGAATGGCCCCTAAGCTACTCTAAATGCAACGCGCAAGTAGAAGATATGCAAACAACTTGAATGCTTTATGATGGTTCAAGAATGTCACAGCGAAAAGCATCTGCAGCAGAGGGATGCGCACGCGTTGCGCTGTTTGCGTAGAGCAAAATAACACGCTCACTTGCTGATCGTGCATTTCAGTTTTGGGCGTATCGGCTTCACTGACACACCGGAACGGAATACAAACACATATAAATAGACACAAAATTTCTAGTTCCCCATAGCTTTGTGTACAAACATGGGTACGCCCAGCAGGCATCACTTTGTACATGAGTTAGCGCTCTAGTAATTTAATAAAGCTCTAGCCCCACTAGTGTGGCTGCGGTATTGCTGCGCTGAACAGAGGATAGTGTACTGAGTGGAGCGTTAGAACTACAGTACGGTACCCTCCGTACCATGCTCCGTACTAACGCTCCAACGAATAGGCATACTTTGACTATACTTTATATTACTGACACACGGTATGCATTTTTTTCATACCCTGGAGGACCAAAGGCCCTAAAAAAAATGGTAAAGAGAATACAAATGAGAAAGACAGTTACCCCGGATAGATCTAGTTGGAGTTACCTCAGCCCTAGTCTGAGTAAGTTGGACTCTATGAATCACCTTTTTTAACATTTGGACATGGTCGGGTCTACTATCACCCGACCATGTCCAAATGTTAAAAAAGGTGATTCGTAGAGTCCTACTTACTCGGACTACCTCAGCCCTATATTTTATCATTGGGTTGTTGTCAATAGGGCTGGAGGAAATTGTCATCATGGACTAGCATGTCTAAAAAAATGAATACGAAAATGTGCCATTTTGTCCCCGTAACCACGATGAAGATTCAGTCTACAATTGCAGTGAAAAAGGAGGCATTACTGACAGCCGATCAATATGTTCGCTGGCCAGAGGTCTTGTAGGAGTTTCGTGTACAAACAAAATTCGTGTTGAAAAGAATGGCAATGCGCAGTCGATTACCATGCACAGCGCATGCACCAGTCAAACTTGACTTGCGCTTTGTCGGCCAACTTCGGCTTCCATTCTACTGCAGCCGTGATGCGAGTGACAAGCCTCATACAATGTAGTTAGTGCAGCAGTAGCGCATCAAACAATCGTTGAGTGGTGTGCGCTTCAGCGCCAGTTAAGTTTGACTGGTGTGCGCCCTGTGCAAGGTAATCGACAGCGCATTGCCATTCCTTTGTACGCGAATTTTGTTCGTACACAAAACCCCTACAACAAGACCTCTGGCCAGTGAACATAAGTTGGTCGGCTGTCAGTAATGCCTCCTTTTTTCACTGCAATTGTAGGCTGAATGTTCATCGAGGATTGTTAAGGACCTGTGTAGTGGTTATGCCGGGCAAGGTTTGGGTGAGTCCCAGGGGGAATTAGTGTGTTACGGGGACAAAATGGCACATTTCAAATTCATTTTTGTATATGCTAGTCCATGTTGACGATTTCCTCCAGCCCTATTGACAACAACCCAATGATAAAATATAGTGCTGAGGTAACTCCAGCTAGGATAGATCTACACATTCATGACATTCCATAAGCATAAGACCCCTTAAATTGTTCCCAACAAGGGGTAATTTAAAAAAAAAGAACAGAATATTCTGATAAACCTAACGCTCACAATTAAATGTGTCTGCTGAGTGGTGTCATCCATTTCTTGGCTGATCCGTTGAGGGCTTGTGTGATGTCACTGTCGTCGATCGAAGAAAAAAAAGTCGCGTTGAATCAACGACTGTTTTGTGTAGTGATATCTGCCCCGCGCCAAAAGCCCATACTGTCATAGAAAGAGATAATCTGGCATAAACTTGTTTAAATGACATTGTAAACATGCCAAGGCAATGTATCATTCTGTGACCATGTGCAAAACACTTGCACTGTGGTCACCATTCATCAATATTAAAACTAGAATCGCCGGGCCTTATAAGGGATGGTTAATTTGCATGTGAATGCTTTCTGAAACTGAGAGCCCCGATCGATGCCAGAAGTTTGAACATTGAATGAATCCCTTACCTTACGATATTTACAGGAATATTTTCCTATAATTGTTCCGATCTTTTGCCGATCCACCAGTCTCGGAATTTGTACATAATTGTGTCAGCTATCGAGTGAATAAACCAAGTGCAATGTAGAAGGGAAATTTTCAACGCCTAACACATCACGTGATGGAGTTGTGCCAATCAATGGTCCGCAGCACGAACACGTGCGTCAAGGGAATTTCCTATGATGAGAAATACGCAAGCCATGTGACAGCTCCACATGTACATGTACGATTTACATGCACGCGTCATGTACTCCATTTACGTCAACGGGGTGGACTCGGTGCAATGAGAATTTGTGGAACGAACTAAAAAGGCAATATCGAGCGGAGTTGTTCCAAAATTCTTCAGTGTATTTGGTATGGCCTATATTATCAGATCCTTGCCAATCTGTTGATGTCAATGAGCTGGCGGTACCAAGCTTTTACTCTGTATTAACTTTTCGTCACTTTTGCATTCTATGGGCGCTGCCATCTTGGATTTTACCCGGACGAAACTACATGTAGTGACGTCAAATTAATCGTCCTTCCGGACTCGTGAACACAATTTGTTTCAATGAAGCATGAATTGTTTGAATAAAATATAACCACTCAAGACACAGGTATGAATTTTATTGAAATATTTTATTGGTTTACATGACAAAAAAAGAGAAAATTAATTATGTTAGTAAAATTATAAAGTAAAATTACAGGTACCCGAATCTGTAATTTGGAACCGGTTCCTGACATCAACGGACGGGTACCCGGGTACCCGGTTCCGATGCACAGGCCTAATTTCTGACCACTTCAACCAATTTTTTTTGAGCAAACGATCATCATTTTCGAGTTCATTTTGTTTATTTTGTTTAGCATCAGAAACCCTTCTGGGCGTGAGAGCGTGAGAATAACCTGAAATGCATGAGTCTCACGCTCATTGCGTGAGAGTTGGCAGCCCTGGTTGCATCTCTATAGACCGACGTCCCATTGGTCCGACGTCCCATTGGTCCGACGTCCCATTGGTCCGACGTCCCATTGGTCCGACGTCCCATTGGTCCGACGTCCCATTGGTCCGACGTCCCATTGGTCCGACGTCCCATTGGTCCGACGTCCCATTGGTCCAACGTCCCATTGGTCCAACGTCCCATTGGTCAAACGTCCCATTGGTCCGATAAAACATACTGCGTACATGTACCGGTAGTTCCACTACTGGTTTAGGTTGACTGACCCTAACC